TTTGCACATTGGAAGCTGAGGCTCAAGAGGGATTTGAACCCAGGTCTGCCTCACTCCAAGCCAGTGTTCTCTGTACCTGTTAAAATGTCTAGAACTGACCTTTGTTACCCATGCCTCAAGGGTATATGATTCTGCAGAAAGACTTTTGATTGGGAATAAGGAAACCCGAATCCTTATTCAGGTTCTGCGTGCTCAGCAGCTAGTTCTGGAAAATATGCCAAGTCACTTGAACTTTTGGGTCTCTTGTTTCTTATTGAGGAAATTATGTTTGCTACAGACATCTCTTAAGGTTTTTATGAGGATGAAATGAAACAATAGCTGGGAAAGTGTCTTGCAAACTTGAGTGATGTACAAATAAAGGGCTTACGTTATTAAATTTTTGGTAATGTTGGACTATTTTTTTATACTTCTCATGTATTTTGATTGAATTTAAAAACTTTTGGCTGATTCTTTCTGTCCCTTGCCAGTTTTTGGTCTTAGATCTGCAAGGGTAGTTTTCTGACTAAGAGGAAGTTGTTCCCAAACTATGGATTTAGAGTAGGATTAAGAGGACCGTTTCTTCCTGTTGGAAACCTGAGACACAAGAAAGGCCTTACTTTCCAAATGTTTCTTTCCTGTCATCAAACAGCTGTCCAATGTGTGCTTATAAAGTGGCTACTCCATATCCAGCTCTGTTCAAGAACCAGTGGGACCTGGGGATTAAAAGCCTGCTCAAACCTCAGGGTTTATAAGAAAAAGTGGGGAAAAAGAGAAATAATCAGGAAATAATGTGGGCGAGTACATACTCCATGTGTGTGGTTCACACTTTAATCCAAGTCAAGTTGAGGAGGTGGCTGTCCTGCTTGCATGGCGGGGGACAGCCTCCTGGAGGAGGCAATGAGGTTTGAACTGGACCTGAAACGTCAGGGTTGGAATTAGGGTCTGGGATCTGCTTGGGAGTGAGGGACATGGTCACAGGCAGGCAGGGGGGAATAGTACAGGTAAGAAGAGATAGGAGTTATCGGTGCATATTTAGGGAAGTCTAGAAAATTGCACTGCATAGTAAAGGAGGACGGTAGGGGAGCTCTGTGTGTGTACGATGCATGCATATGTGTGCACGCACACAAGTGTGTGTGTGCGTGCACATGCACGCATGTGTGTAGCATGCTAAAGGAACTAGACAATCAGGGCTAGGTGTGGTGGCTCACGCCTGTAATCCTAGCACTCTGGAAGGCTGAGATGGGAGCATTGCTCAAGGCCAGGAGTTCAAAACCAGCCTGAGCAAGAGCGATGCCCTGTCTCTACTAAAAATAGAAAGAAATTAATTGGCCAACTAAAAATATATAGAAAAAATTAGCCAGGCATAGTGGCGCATGTCTGTAGTCCCAGCTACTTGGGAGGCTAAGGCAGGAGGAGCGGGAGGTTGAGGCAGGAGGATCGCTTGAGCTCAGGAGTTGGAGGTTGCTGTGAACTAGGCTGACGCCACAGCACTCTAGCCTGGGAAACAGAGCGAGACTCTGCCTCAGAAAAAAAAAAGAAAGAAAAAGAAAAAAAAAAAAGGACTTAGACAGCCAGGTCTGAGAGTTGTAGGGTAAAGTCATCCAGAGCACTGAAGGCCCTGTAGTGAGGAATGGCGGTGAGACAAGGGATGGAGGCAGAGAAAGCCCGGAGCAGGGGCTTGGCATCAGGAGCCCCCGTGCAGGTGTCTGGGTGGCAGAATTGCTGCGAGAGTGGGTAGGAGATTGACTGGACAGAGGTCTTTAGGCACAATCCACAGAATTCAGTGACAGATTGAATAAAGGAATTCAGGAGGAGGAAGAGGAATTAATGCTAAACTCTACTGAAGTGTATTGATTTAGAGGTTACATGGTTTTCCTTGCCCGGTTCCAAGATTCTCGGCTCTTCCATAAAATGTGGGTAGTTGACAGCAGCAACTCATTTTCAGTGCTTAAATTATTCCAAGTTCATTTATGAATATTTCATTTTTAGCTAACTAATTGGTCTTGAGAATCTGAATTATGGATGTAGCAAGTTGGAAGATTAGTTTTGTCACTATCGTGTTTGAGGCTTTCCGAAGCTTTCAGGGCTGATTTTATTTCTTCCTTGCCATCGGATCGTGTGCTGTTCATCAGTTTTAATTCACCCACAGTGATTGGGTGCCTGCTGTGCTGAGTTAGGTGCCGAGGAGGGTAAAAAATAATCGGGCCAAGGACTCTGCCTTCAAGGAGTCTCTCCAGCCTGTGGGAGGAGACTTGCAGATAACACTGTGCTGTGCTCCTGTACGCGGCAAGTACACAGTAGGCGCCGCAGCTGCCGTCTCTGTGCTCCGGCAAGTCTGTGTGGAGGAAACACGGGGGGCCCTGCTATGCTGAGTTTGTCAAGCTCAAGGCTAAGGAGACAGTTCTCCGAAAGACTGCCAAGTCTGCCCAAACTCCTGCCACAAATTTGGGGGTCCTCTGGGCCACCCTCGCTTCTGACCAGCTAACTACAAATTTGGGGATCCCTGTGGCCTTTTCAGGTTTGATAATTTTTAGAATAACTCATAGAACTCAGGAAAGCACGGTACTTGTGATTATAATTTTATTGGGCCAGAAGGATACAAATCAGAAGCAGCCACAGGGAGAGATGCGTAGGGTGGGAGAGGCTCCAAACATAGAGCTCTTGGTCCCCCTGTGGAGGCCTGGAAAAGGTTGCCTTCTCCCGGTGACAGTTCTCAAGAGTGCTAATCAGAGAAGCCATTCAAGTTTTTACTGGGGCTTGATGACATCCTACCCACATGGCTGACGTTTAGTCTCTGTCTCTCCTGGAGGTTTGTACTAATACCTTTATTCTCCTGTCCCTTCAGAGGTTGGGACTGATGTCCCCATCATGAATTCCAAAGTTTCCAGGCAAAGGTACTCCTATCGGGAGGGACATCCAGGGGTCTACAGGTCACCTCTCGAGAGCCTAGGGCAAAGGCCAGACCTCTCTTTGGGTCAAGCTAATTCTTCACTGCACAGCTGCATCCTCAGGGGTCCTCAAACTTTTTAAACAGGGGGCCAGTTCACTGTCCCTCAGACCGTTCAAGGGCTGGACTATAGTTTATAAAAAACTATGAACAAATTCCTATGCACGCTGCACACATTTTATTTTGAAGTAAAAAACAAACGGGCAAAAACACCCACATGTGGCCTGTGGGCCATAGTTTGAGGACGCCTGTCGTAGAGCGTCTCACAGGAGCAGCTTGTATCTGCACAGGCAGGATGTCAGAGCCTGTCATCCGGGGTTAGACCTGGGCCACAGACTTCAGCAAACTGTTGTGCACCATGTTTCTGCAGCTCAGCTCGTGTGACACGAGGTGGGTGTTTTATAGCCTCGCCGCTAATTCTGCTTCTCTGATATTAATTGCTGCTTCGGTACGTTGTACACGTACATGTTGTTGTAAAGAATAATAATAAGAAAAGTTTTAATGACTTTGAAGAAAACAGTTTTTCCTTACTCTGTACCTTCTGTTTCTTCCCTCCCCCTCCCTCCTCCCAGACATGTGGGTGGGATCTCCTATAAACACAGCCTTTGTTCTCTTTGGTGAAATTCAGGGAGAGTTCCGGGGTCTTGTGTCCATTGTTTGCTTATTTGCTTTCCTGTCATTAAGTACCATCTCCTCCCTGGAGCTCTCCACAGGAGATGAGGGGAAGGCAGTAATCATGCTGGCTGTTCTGGTGCAAGAGGCTCTGTTTTTTTTCTCTCTGCTGAGACTAGTCGACTCATCCTTGGCATTGCAGCTCAGCAGAAGCTGTGTTGCAACAAGGGGCTCCCTTTCTCAGGAAATCTCCTGCCCCATTCTGCTGCCTGGTCTCCCTGAGGTCTTGAGGACCCCGTGTCAAAGCAGGCTCCTCTGTCCAGAGCCCCCATTGTTAGGCTGCTCTGTCCCTGCAGACTCTGCCCGTCTCCGTTCCTTCCACTCTGGTTTATGAACACGAGTGACTGAGTGAAAGGATCCTCATGGTGGTAGCAGTGGATAAAGTGGCTGGTGTTTGCTGCGCAGAACCACAGCTCTAGAGAGAGCAGGAAGGGACCTGAAAGACATCCTGATTCTACAGATGAACATATGCCCAAGCTGGTGCCAGAATCTAGGACTCCTTCCTTGATGTTAGAAGGGGATTGCTGAAATGCTGTGCCTCAGCTGGACAGATGACTCTAGCATTGGGGATGTCAGCCAGGCTGGTGGCAGCTCCCTGCTTGGCCTCTCTCAGCGGCATCTCTCAAGTCGCATCACCTAAGACCACGCCTGTCCCCCTGCACTCAGACATGCGTGATGCTCTGCTCCCTGACCTGCTCTCCCTCTTAATCCCCACCCTCATTCTGGAGACGAATCCCTTAAAAACAAATGCTAATTAAGAAATGCAGGTTATAAAATGACGTGGAACTTGGCTCTACAGCAGCTCTGATCATGCCATTTAAAATCACGAGGTTGCTAGGAAACTTGAAAAATATTGTTATTGTCTTTAGTTGTATAATCTGTGGCTTTAGATTGTAATTATTTTTTCCCTTTCTCACTAGGGCAGCTTGACTCTAATAATTATGACTCTTTGAAATTATCTGAATAGTTGTGTAACTCATTAAGAGCATGACAAGCTCAGCAGCCTTTGCGAGCCCTTTGCAAAGATGTCCCTAAGCAGTTTCTGAGAACTGGATTTCAGTGGAAATGGTGGCTAACAAGGGGGAGGATTTGGGACCTGGGGGCTGACAGCCCAAACTGAAAATCCTCCCTGCTTTGCAGAAGAGGATGTGCAAAGGTGCTGATAAACTGCTAGTCTTGAGTAGGACTATTACAAAATTGATTACCTATTAGTATACAGATGCAGTGAAGATGATTAGCACTGAAGATGAGTTTTTTGTAGCTGTTAATTTCTAGAATTGCTTCAGACTTTTCATTCATAAAAAAATGTGAAACCTGAATATATCCTCACACTTGGAAATTGAGTGTGAGCCCTGCACTGTCATCTTGTGTGACTCCATTGTGTCCTCTCGTTTCCTTACAGAGTTTTTGGTCATGAAGAGGAAGAGAGGCAGGCCTAAGGGGTCCACGAAGAAGCCCAGTGCTGAAGAGGAGCTGGCGGAAAACATCGTGAGTCCAACTGAGGACAGTCCTCCGGCTGCAGAGGAAGGGAGCAGCCTGGCTCCAAGCAGCTTGGAGTGTAGCAAGTGCTGTCGGAAGTTTTCTAACACGCGCCAGCTACGGAAGCACATCTGCATCATCGTGCTGAATTTGGGTGAGGAGGAAGGAGAAGCAGGTAAATGCTGCCGAAGGGCTGAACATACCACTTTCTTATTGAGAGGTGTAGCTACTAATATCAGTTTTTTACTGGTTTGGTTATTACTTGGAAATAGCATATATTTATACAGGTCTCATTCATCTGGAGAAGTACTTATTTTCCTACTGATTGTTGTCACTATGAGTCATCTTTGAAATGAACTTGTCATCTGGTAGTTGATGCCCAGGGTGTGCAGGTCAGGGGGATGTGTTAATAGATGCTTTGGGGAGTTGCAGAGATGTAAAACACTGTTTCTACCCTTGCTGAGCTTGTGTTCTGGGAGAGAAGATCAGGTTTTCAAATGCAGAATGTTGAAGGATAGTAAATCGTTAATTGTTGATAGTAATTGTTCCTACATTGTGGTAGGAAGTCAGGAGGGAGCCTGGTGTCCCAGTTTGGGTGGCATCTGGACATCTTAGTCTTCCCTCCTTTAATTCAAATGCCACCCAGACTGTCCCTACTGTGAGGGACTGTGATTGACCAAATAGTGGCTGAGAGCTAGAATATTGGGTGCTTCCTCCAGATAAACTTCAGCTCTGAAGCAACTTCTAAAAGAGGCTGAAATGGGGATGAACATGAGCAGGGAATGAAGTCGCTATGGGGCAGCATGTCTGCAGGAGGAATGAAATAGCAAGGCTGCGCTGGAGAGGCCAGGGCCTCTGGTGTGAGTTCTGCTGCTGCTGTTTGGTCCTTATACCATGTTTGAAGATTGTACCCTGTGTTTAAGAAGTTCTTTCTGTTTTGTACTGTGCTAAGTGGGTTATGTAGGAGGCAGTTCTGGTTAAGAACAGACTCTCGAATATGGCTATCTGGGTTTGAATCTCAGTGCTTACTAACTTCACTCTGCCTCAATTTCCTCATCTGTAGAATGGGAATAAAAGCAGTACCATATCATATGGTTGCTTTGAGGATTGAATGAGATGGGACTTAATAAAGTTCTTAGGATAGTACCTGCCATATCAAAAGCACCCAGTAAATGTTGGCTCTTACTATTATCTGTTCATAGCCATGTGGATACAGTACTGTTGTCATCCTTCCTATTTTACAGGTAAGGGCATTTAGACTGGGAGATTAAGTAATTTGTCCAGGGTCCTTGAGTTAGTAAGGAGACCTGGCCTTTCCACCCAGGCTGTCCTACTCTGAACCCATGTTTTTAAATTTTTTACTATAAATACCTCTCTACAATGAATAAGACTTTGGTTTGTAAAAACCCTAATACCAGATTAGGTGAATTATTGAGTAACTCATCAACTAATATTTATGAAACATCTAGGTTGGTGGCCAGGGCTCATTTTCAACATCTGTGCAAGTTATAGAAAATACAGGATGTTGTTCCTTCCCTTAAAGAACTCGCAGGGTGCCATGTGCAACCCTACTAGCTGCATGGGCTCACACAAATAATGCATGAGGATTCAAGCAAGGCAGTGAGGTGGCAGCTGTCCCAAGATGGAGTGTGAGTAATTGCCATGTGAGAGGTGTAGGCAGGGACTGCTGGGATTTCAGAGGAATCAGCATCTTGTTTCAGAACCTAAAGTCCTTTTGGCAAATAAAGATAATTTTAGAAATGGGATGGTTGAGGGAGGAAGCATTAGTATGTACTCTCCTGAACCTAAAGCTCTGATTTCCAGTGGAGTTGTTAATCACTGGATTTGGGTTACGGGGTCTCTCCCTACCTTCTCTTGCAGGTGCTTGTGGTCTCTCTGTCTCTCTCTGTCTCTCTCTCTGTCTGTTTCTCTCTCTGTGTGTCTCACATGCACACCCCCTACTCTCTTTTTTTCTGGCACGGTTAGTAACAGTGTTGCGTTTGAATCAGAGGCGCCAGCTCTAGCCATTAAGGCAGCTCTGTGGTGTGTAGTTTCTGCCTGAGTTCTTCTAAGAATCATTCAGCCCTCTTAGATCATCTGGTGCTGTCTTCTTAAGGAGCTCTCTCGTTTGTGTGCCCTCCCAGGGCTTGTTTTTCCTATCAGGTTCCTTTTTTTTTCTTTATTTCGGCATATTATGGGGGTACAGATTTTAAGGTTTCAATAAATCCCCTTTCCCCCCTTCCCCCACAAGTCTGAGTTTCCAGCATGACCATCCCCCAGATGGTGCACATCTCACTCATTATGTATGTATATACCCGCCGCCCTCCCCCCTCCCACCTGCCCAATACCCTATTACTGTAGTACCTATGTGTCCACTTAGGTGCTTCTCAGTTAATACCAGTTTGCTGGTACTCACCAGGTTCCTTTTGAGATGCTCCTGGACCTTGTGCACAGTTATGGCTAGAAATCAGGGATTTCACCCTTTTGCAACACTAAACATTCCTGCTTCCTCTTTCTCCAGACCTCAGGCCTGAATCTGGCTTTGAGGCTCACAATCAAAAGCACAGACTGAGAAGGTCAGTTGGGTCAGAGGCCGGTCCCGAGTCTGCACTGGCCTCAGGGCCATTCTCTAAAACAGCCCCTGGGCTGCTCCCCTGTGCGGCAGAGCAGAGCCTTGCCTGCCTGTGCGAGGCCCTCACCAGGCTGGTCCCCCGGTGGCTCTGTGGGACACAGTGTTCTGTTATTTGTGCCAGCCACGGTGCGGCTGCTGAAAGCCTAGGCTTTTATCAGCTTTTTGGCGGTTATTACTTTAATAAATATTCCTGTGTGGGTGTGTATGTGTACATGTGTGTAGTTGTGTGTGTATGTATACCTCTTTGTAGACCTTTGTTCTTATTTTCGTAGGAGAAATTCCTAGAAGCCGACAGACTGTTACATCAGAATGTATATTGCCACATTTTTTTTGCCAGAAAGTTCACACCAACTTAGATTCCAAATGTGTCTGAGAGTGCCTCTGGGATATTATCACTTTGTTTATTTTTATTTTTAATACCTATGATGATATAGGAAAATAGTCAGATGAAAGTGAAAATAATCCCAAATTTCACTATCTAGGCATAATGACTGTTATAATGTCTGAAAAAAAGAAGACCTCCTCTATTCTGTGTATACCCACATGCATTTTTCAAAAATGGTATCATACCTAATATTCTGTGATTTTTTTTTCCCCACACACCAATATGGAAGATAAATTTTTCATGACAATATTTTTTATTTAACAAGCTTTTTTTCTAACTTTTTTTTTTAACACTTTTTGTGTTACAGATACTATTCTCAGTGTTTTACAACTAATAGATCTTTTAATTCTCATAGTAACTTTAAGAGGCATGCACTATTCCCATTTTATAGAGTGGAAACTGGGGCACAGATAGGTTCAGCAGTTGGCTTAGATCCCAGCCAGTAAGAGATGGAGTTGGTGGTGAACCAGGCAGGCTGATGCCAGGCTGTGTGCTTTTGACTGCTTTGCTGTGTGTCCTGATCCAAAACAATCAGTAAAAGTCAATTGTTGTTTTTAAAGGCCAGACAGCATTTCATCATATGCGTGGGACATAAATTTTACTTCATCAGTCTCCAGTTGATGGATATTTAGAATTTTACATTTTTCTTGCTGATTGAAAAACACTACTCAGGTGAATAGTCCTGAGCATGCATTTTTATTTTACTGTTTTTTTTTTGCACTTGTGCCATTATCTTAGGCAAATACCTAGTAATGTAATTGCTGCGTTAATAGAGCACATTTTACATTTTGACACATTTACTTATTGTCAAACCACTCTGTAGAAAGCACGTATCAATTATTTTTCCATCATGGGCTGTATCCTCGTATCACCTTCATCCTCTTTATCCTTGGTTGTGTCAGACTCTGTCTTTGCCAATCTCTAATGTGAATGATTTTAACTGTTTTAATTTGTACCTCTTTGATGACTAGTGGACTATCTCTGTACATAGTTATTAGCTATGTGTGACTGGGGGTATCTCTTGTTTCATGCTCTTACATTTTTGGATTGACATGCTGAAAATATTTCCTGCAGTTTGTCATTTATCTTTTAATTTCCTTTCTAATATAGCATTGCTTTTTTTTTTGCGTTTGCATTTTGCTAGAGTTTTAAATTTCTATATTGTCACTACAGTCAAATGTTTCTCATAAATTTCTTGCTTTTTTTTAAAAAAATTATACCTTAGAAAACTTTCCCTATACCCCAAATTATAAAATATATTTCTATATATTGCCCTGTCATTTGTATGGTTTTATTTTACCTATATCTTGATCCATCTGGAAACTGTATTTTAGTGTAAGTTGTGAAGTGAGGTAGTTATTTAGTTGACTCTTGAACAACATGAGGGTTAGGGGCACTGACACCCTTCCCCTCAATGCAGCTGAAAGTCCACATACAACTTTTGACTCCCCCAAACTGAACTACTAATAGTCTACTCTTGACAGGAAGCCTTGCTGATGACATAAACACTTAATTAACATGTATTTTGTATGTTAATATATTATATACTATATTCTTATAATAAACTGAACTAGGGAAAATAAAATATTAAGAAAAGCATAAAGAAGAGAAAATGTATTTACTATTCATTACATGGAAGTGGATCATGATAAAGGTCTTTATCCTCATTGTCTTCTCAATGAATAGGTTGAGGAAGAGGATGGGTTGGTTTTACTGCCTTGGTGACAGAGGCAGAAGAAAATCTATGTGTAAGTGGACTCACACAGTTTAAACCCATGTTGTTCAAGGATCAAATGTTTATATTTGATCAGTAAATACAAGCCAAGGAATTATGTTAATAAATGCAATTTATTAGGTAAAATATTTCAAATCGTAGAGTCTACAGAGAAAATAAGGGCCTGGTAGTTCAAAGTCTAAAAAACCCTTAAAAGATAAAGTTTTATATTTTAAAATGATTATAGATTCACAGGAAACTGCAAAGATAGTACAGAAGGGTCCCATGTGCCCCTCACCTGGTTTCCCCGGGCAGTTACACCTTATACAACTATAGCCAATATCCAAGTCAGGACACTGGCTGATGTATGTGACTTGCTGCCACTTGCCACTGTCACGTGTAAACTGCACGTAGCCAGCACCACTGTCAGGAGACTCCATCACT